ACCATCTGCAACCACTTATTCACCTCTTCAACTGCCTTGTCGCCTTTCTTATCACCTTGAGTCTGAAACGCAGAAAGTATGACACCTTTGGGTAAAAAGTAATTATTGAAAAGCAGAAAAAAATGCGGTACAAATAGCACACTTTTTTTCTGCACTATAAAGAGGTGCTTCTAACTTAAATTCCCCAATCAAGTAACATATTCACAGCACTCAGACGAGTTCAACAACCTTGTACAGATAGAAGCCAATTATATAAGTAAGCCATAGTAAGCCAATTATAGCCACAATTTGAAATTCCAATTAAAGTCATTCTAGAATTGCAGTGAAGAAAAACTGAGAACTTGGAAAAATATGTGCATCACGTACGTAAATAGCTTACTGGCATAACTTGTGTTCTTGAATACGTACCCGTGCTCAATCCCTTATTCCCTTGCTTCCCTTGTTGTAGTTAGCCTACGTTGGTCTATGTTGACTAATCTCATTCTCATGTACTTTCCACTTAGTATTAGAGTGAAGCGTTCGACCGAACTGATTTGTCTTGATTGGAGCGTTTGCTTTTTTTTCTCTTTTTCTTTTGTCAATTTTGTTGCTATTTTCTTTTCCTATATTGACATGATTCCATGACGAGTGTAGCATCCCCTTGAGCGTAAAAAATGTTAAATAGGGAATGCCCGACTAACAGTTCGAAAATTGGTTTTTGGACCCAGGTGAATGAGCTTCTCCACATTACGTCTCGCCACATCTACTCAAACAATTCAATATTCAACAATTCACGACCTCCCCTTTTTTGTGGACTATAACATTCGCATAACGAAGTTTTACTTTGCTTCTGAACGTCACAGAAAACCGTTATTCGAAATTGTGCCACCAAATGCGACAAAGTCGAGAGAGGGTTATTCTTCACACACAATACCTCAATATCTTAGTCAAAGAGGCGATACTTGCTGTACCGAAGTTTAAGACAACTCAAAAATGTAGAGCTTATGCAAAATAGTAGGGTGTGTTGCTCAAGTGGAAAGCTTGCTTTTGAAATGACTGTTTCAAAAGAAACATCACAATCTGCCGAGGCTTTCAATTACCTAACAAAACAAAAAGTGATTAAAATCGAAATAAACGCTAGAAGTTTCAAGAGCATAAATGGAGCCCCTGACATCAAATGAAAGTTGGGTCTTAGTTTTCGACTATTCGTTGGCTGCCCAGAAGTTCTGGCAGCTTACATGCTTTATAAAATAGCAGCAGGCCCCACCTTTTCCTCAAGACAACAGACCTCCCAAGGGTTTTCCTACGTCTGACAAGTTATAAAAATTCATGATAGCGTTTTTCAAAACACTTATACAGAGCTATCCCTGAACGTTTACTTAGACTATGTATCCGTGCAGGCTCGCACAAATATAAGGACTGCAAGGGGGCCATGTTGAGAAAAATATGTACGAAATTACGAGTAGTAAAAAAGAACAGTGGTAAAAGTAAGAAACAAGTAATAAATATTGTAAATATTTGAAATAATATTACCTTCTCCACAGCAACAAGAGCCTCTTTCAGATTTTTCACCACATCGGCGGGAGACTTGTGCGACTTACCGAATATGGGAAGAGGCATACCTGCGAAAACGAGGCATTACACTTACTCTCAGTACTGTTGAAACAACGAGACGCTACCATCATTCACAGATATCATAAAGAAAATCCGCAGAAGGATGACTTCACAAATTCTCTCTTCTCGCAAGCTCGGTATTTTGGTAGTGAGTTTGTTAGCTTCTTGGACCTTACGAGGTCGTTAGGTGAAACTTTCAACCCCCAATAGAACCAGTGAATGGAAGCAATGGAATCCATTGAATATATTTAACTCGACCTAAGAGCCTCGGCACAAGAAAACTTACAAACGACAAAAGAATAATAAACAACGTCTCAACCAGAAAGAGAAAGCATTTGAAAGAATCAGCTCCAAATCCGCGGGTGCAATCAGAGGATAGCACAAAGAAAGTTACAGGAACCAGATTTGTAAAGAAAACTCAGTAAGAAAGAATGAAAAACTAAACAATACAGAGAGAGCCCTAACAAAATTGCATGCGCACAAAAAGCATCCACAAGATGAATCAAAACTGTACTGTAAAATGGTATACGAAATATGAAATCATGAAACTGTTGAAAAACATCGATAAAACCGAAAAATCGATTGGTACTTGAAGTGCAACGAGCGGACGAAATCAGGCAACGGCGTGATTATACATATAGGATGCGCGACGGTCGAAAATGGCAAATCGAAGTTCAGCGCAATATTCAGACCCCTTCCACTAGACATAGTCACAAGTAGCAAATCAAGAGATCGGTATTAAAAACCAGTAGTGGCATTGGAAATCATTTCCAGCCCTAGAAACACATAAACTCGCATGGTGATTCAACACCTCACCCCGAAAGATACAACTTTCCCCAATGGGAATAAAAATTTCTCAGTTCACTTTTTGAATACGGGCTAGCCTCAACTCGATTTGATAGAATTGAACAGCCGCAAATTCTTGTGATCAACAGAAATTTGTAGCGACGACCGTAGCAAACGACAAATACGTCCGCCATCTGTTTGTCGCTTCATCATTTTGAGCAACGTAGGAACAAAAACTCGGTTAGTGGTATCCGTGTAATGCAATACAGTGTTTAATCACTGTGAATATTCTGGTTCGAGAAAAAACCAAAAATTAATATGTGTCACTCAAAATTCAAATGTTGTTGCTATAATTTGAATTGCAGGCATGGGTTTCGCAACATAAACCTTTCGGCCGCATGCATGTCGGTCGTTCGTAACGGTCATACAGCGTTAGATACGTATAGATCGTCGAATACTCAGGGAAGTCTGACGATCGATATGCATCCAATGCTGTGCGACCGTTGCGACATTACGATGGGACGACCGAGTATGCATGCCCCTTCCCGTCTGAAAGAAAAACAGAACTAAAGTCAGAGAATCGCCGTAACTCGGACTGATAGCGGGGATTGCCCCCAAAGTTACATGTTCTCCAAGATGAAACATGAGTTTGTTTGGACTGAACTGGATCAAGAAGGCTGAAAAACGCTTATGGAGTGCTGCAAAAATTTTCAAGGGCAACGTACGTAGTTGGCGTGGGGCCGTGGCTCACTAGGTCTAAGCCTAACAGCCTAAAAGGATGAATTCCTTTTAGGCTGTTAGGCTTAGACCTAGTGGGATTATTCATCAGGTCTGGAGAGCACAATTATTCTAGACTGTCCCAGGTGTCTCGTAGGAATAGAGATTACGAACTGCACACTCTTTGTTCTCGTAGAAAGTATTTTGATGTATGTATGGTCTTTAAGCTGCTGGCTGGTATTGCTAAAATTGACGCTTCTAAATTCTATGGTATAGTTAACTCTAGAACTAGAGGATGGTCAATCAAGATATCGTATGCCACGCCGAAAACGAATTTAAAGCGGCATAGCTTCACTTGCCGAGCAGGGTCTGAATTCACGTCTCTCAAAACTTCAGTGGTGATAGCATCTCCGGCCTTCCGGCTTTTCAAGCGCCTAAGTAAGGTGGAACTGTTGAATTTCAGTGAGCTCTAGTTTCTTTTTGGATCTGTCTGTAATTTTAGATGCGAATTGTTAACTATGTATTTCTCACGTTTGCCTTAAGCATAACGTTATAAATAAATAAACCTCTGCTAACCAGTCTGCTAGGTGGCCGTCGTCACTTGCGATGTAATGGTCTGCACCCTACGCTTTTTTAGTTTGAAAGAGAGGGTACTTGGCTGAGGCTAGTGCATCTTTCCACCCCATTCGAATCGAATGGTTGAAACCTGCTGGGACTGTTGCTTTAAGCCAGTCATCTTTCTTTTCTGCACACATTTAGGCTCCCTGTAGCGTCCATCTCTGCGCACCTAATTAGTCCGAAGATCTTCAGAGCGCTGCGAAGTTGATCCCTACGAATACGACCACCCTCCCCCCCCCAATTCGGTCGGATACAACTCCCTTCGTTTAACTTCGACCAACGAACGGTTCAATCTGAGTGCACGACGTTGCAGTTGTAGCAGATATGGGCGCAGTACGGCTGGAGGGAGCTCCGCCGAGGCGCGCTGCAAGTTCGTGCACTCTTGGCGGGATAGTGTAGGCTACCACATTTGACTTTTCACGCATGTCACACGTCTCCTGCTTGTACATTGAGCTCTAACCCTACCTTTCATCTCAACACCGCCTAATACTGAGCTTAGGGGAGGGGGTGAGACTAAGGAGTGCGTATACCACGCACCGTGTGGCAAAAGTTGAAGTGTGAGATCAAAGAGTGACTGGCTTACTCACTTTAAGTCTTCCACTCTCCAATAGCTAAATCCTGATTGTGATCTTAGTGAGAGGGCGCGGACGAGCAGGAATTGGGCGCCGAACAGCGCCAATCACAGGGGCCAATGTTTTCTTTGTAATCAGAGCTCCAAATAATCACTATGCACAAGTTTACAGCGCATTTGGTGAGAAGCACCTGGAGCAAGATGACGCTAATTCCGCAAAATTTGTGCAATTCTTGATCAGGACCCTCGATAATTTTCATAGAGGAAATTTCTCCAACTTCCTAAGTAAAGTTCAGCACTAATGGAACTTGCGGTTGCATTGCGTTCACGTCATGTTGAGTATCTCATACTCGACTGTCTTCAAAGAGCTTCGTGTATATAAAGTTGGCTCTTACATTCTCCACGGTCTCTTGTCCTAATTCCGGATTGTCAGATTCTCCCACATTTTTCTAGTGAAGCCATTCATTCGTAATCCAAACTGGTTTCATTGAGAGTAATTTGCCAATTTTTTTTTGTTTCATGCACCTTGTGTATATTTGCTTTCTGTAGGACGCATATTCTGCAGTTTCGGTGCGTACTTTTGCAATTGCTGCTTTGCTAGACCAAATATCAGCAGCAAGTTGTTTGCTTACACCTCTCGCTTGTTCGCTGTTTTTTTTGAGCCGTTATACTTTCATATACTATTTTTATCATTGAACTATACTTCAGTTGCAGAATGACGGGTAGAGGAGGATTCATATTCCTTCTAGGCTTGTTTGTGTTGTCGATGGTGGAGGTATTCGTAAAAGGTTTGTTTTTTACCGCATTTGGCTGTTTTAGTAGGGAATTACTTCTCGTTTTTTTATTAGCTTTTGTACAAAACAGTCAGCGGTAATGTTTATATCTATAGTTCCAGCACACTCTGAAGATGAGCACGATGCCGATGAGTTCCGCAAGGAATTTGGTGATGAACCACAACCCGACAGTTTCAGGCATGTTCTTCTCCAAGCCTGCAGAATTTTGTGGTTTTGTTTTAAATTCTTCAGAAGTCTCTTAATTTTCAGCCAAGGAACCCAAGAGGAGCACGTTGAAGTGCGAGATGGACCTCAGTTCGCTAATATCAAGCAGAAACCCCTTACTGGAAAATCGCTTCCCACTTTGAAGTTCCTGTTTTGGTATGATTCGGTTTCTAATTTTAATTCGATATGGTTTCTGTTACCGGCTCGCACTCTCGAGCTGTAGAATCATGTGCAGTATCGTTGGCCGCCAATCATCCTCATTGGTCATATTTTGCCGCTTCCTTTAACACCTAAGACGGGCTAAGGGAAGTTTGGCCACTTTGTACAGTTTCTTTGAGCTACCATACGGTGTTCTATTTGGTGCAATGATGAAATTCTCTACACTTGCAGGACATCTTATTACGCCCAATCGATTCTTTATCTTTCCTTTGCGAATCTGATCAGAGCTCTTTGTTTTGCAATTGTGTCATATGAGACACAACTGCTTGATTCGAATCATTCTCATTATACCGTTTCAGCGTTTCTTGTGGCTACAAGCAAGCATATGAGCAATTTTCGATGGCAGTGCGTGACAAATACCCCGAAATGCCCATTGAGGGTAGCAATTATCCACCTGTCAAGTGGAAGGAATACCTTGCACATGTGATTGTTCTTCACTTACTAATGTTTTCTCAAATAATCATAGATGTATAATCACTCGTTTCAGGCTATCAACATACTGAAGATAACCGCCATTGCAGCCATTGTCAGTGGTAGCAATCCGTTCCAGCTTGTCGGCCTCGGTGAACCTGCTATTATGCAATGGGCCCATTCGAATAAGGTACCTTGAATGGAGTTATTAGCACGTTGGTTCCACTCGATTTTCCATGTGTATGCCGAGTTGGACCACGCCTTTCTTTCCAATTTACAAAAAATATGTGGCAGTTTTGGAATAGTGATTATGCCGGAAGGATTTTAATCTGCAACTTCAATTCGATACAGAAACTGTGAAAGTTTGTTCGCATCAATCATTTGCTGTTTGCTTCTGAAAAGTCAAATATGATCTCGATGGGTCCAGAAAATATTGTGAAACAGGCTCCAAAAGTTCCAACTTTCCACTCAGTGATCCGTAAATGGGATTTTCATGTTTATCGTTGAAGCTGTACCAGAGCGTCAGCCAAAATCAAGCAAAAACAGCCGCATACAGTTGAAAATTACTTTTACGTAAGAGAATAATTTCAAGCACAACTTTTCATATTCTATTTACTATTACTTCATTCACATTCATGTCGATGGCAGCTCATATGCGCTACCAAGGACACGTGCTCGTGAGTCAATGGCAGCCTATACCTCCTGCCTGTCAGTAATCGCCCACCACTCGCTTGTATCGTCTTTTTGGGTATTTTTGATATGAGCAATGTAATGAGGGTCGAATCTCGTAGCCATAAATGACATGGTCGCAAAAGTCATTCCTCGCGTATCCTTCGACGCCTAAGCGCCTGCTATCCTATTCATAAATTGCCTGGAGAGATGATGATCAAACTAAAGTTATTGATAAATCCGATTGCAAAGAA